TTATCCAAGGTGCTTCATGACCCATAATTGGGTCCCAAGCCCAACTTTGGGAACCAAAGTGCAGTGGTTCCCAAACTTTTCAGCTTTTGACCCAGAAAATAACAGTAGCAGAGACCTGTGCCCCCAATTGTTTTTGGATGGTAAACATTTGTATCAGGTCAACTAAACATGGGCATAGTAACAATATTTTTTATACTACATATGTCCATTTTAAATACACTAACCTCACTCCTTTGAAACAACTAAGGCAAAAATGTAATTAATTCAGAAAATCTTTTCAGGACCCCACCTTGATGTTTCGGGACCCCACTTTGGGTCCCGACCCCAACTTTGGGAAACACTGTTTTATTGGCTTTGGGCTCTGAATATCATCATTAGTTGCCAAATTTGGGCCTTCGCAGTCTGATCTACAGCTGCCAGACTGGAAGTTGCCAACTGCCTGTCAGACCTTACTGTCATTTTTCACCTCTTTGTGGTAATAAAAGCAGCAGGCAACAGTTTCCTGCCATATCGCCAAGGTTAAACACAGTCTCACAGAATCATGCCCGTTATCACAGTCTTTCTTCAGCTAATCTCTACTYTATTATTTCAAACCAGAAAGTACATTTTGTACCGGAACAAAATTACTGTCAGAGGACATGAAGATGTTATACACAATCTGATYTTAAAATGTACTTCTTGACCTTAATATTTCAGCATGAACTTCTACCTGTATTATCCCTTCCCATAGATATTCTTATCTTGTGCTCTTCCTTTAGAACTGCTGTTGTTTACCAAATTGATTGAAGAAGGCAATTTATGTCTGGGAAACCAGTTTGTGCTCGGAGCAAATGGAGATGTGTTCCGGTACAGTCAGGTGTCTTTGTCTTCTGATTAAACGTTTCCCATTTTATGTTGCAGTCTGACTCTCTGTGTCTCTTTCACTTTCTTTCAGCCTTCCGATTCTTATTTCCCTTGTGCGCACGCTTTCATTTGTGTTGTCACTCCCCCTCTCAGTCACCGGCAGCGCCCTGCTTTCCATGCCTTTGCCTTTTCACTACATCTGTCCCTTCGATTTGTTGAGTTCGCCGTACTGCCCTTTCCTCCCTTTTTTTCCCACCGCCTCTTCCTCGCACGCCTTCCCCTCACAGATCCACCCTCATCATTTCTCATCTTCCTTCATGACCTCCTTCTCTCTCAAGTGACGAGCCACATAGTAATGTGTTTGCAGATTGTGCTGAGTGACTAAGAGAGGCCATTAGAGAGTGTTCTGACTGCCAATGGAGGCATCGGGTGCAAGATGTCCATGACGGAACAAGTATTGGTGTTTGCATTGGTCWGGAGTGTGTGGTTGTTTGTTTTTTAATCAAAAATGAGAACTAAAACCACACTGGATTTATGAGGACCTCTCTCACCAGTTAAAAACAATTTGCATTATTTGTTGGTACAAATTGATTTTTAGGTGTCAGGATTCAAAGRGTCCCAGTGGGCAATTAGAGATGGACATGATGATACATGTGTGTCCCGCGATATACGTCTGTGTGTGAAGTGTTAATGCAAGTGTGTTACTTGTTTTTATCGCTTGCTGCCAAAGGGGCAACAACATTTTTGCCCATCTCTCTCTCTCTCTCTCTCTCTCTGTGTGTCTGTGTTCATGTGCCTGTAACATTAAGAAAATATCTCACGAACCAACGGATTTTAAACAAAACTCTCAGAAAGTAATTAACAAATGGACATCTCCAACTGATTGGTTTTCAGAATCAATCCCATTCTAGATGCACGCCACAGCTAATTAACCTAAGCAGGAACAAAACAGCTGTAACTCGGCCAATTTTCTACAAATCGAACTAAACTTTTATGTGTTTGTAGCTTAGAGTCATCCTCAACACACTCTCTGAGCACTATCACAGTTTATAACTGTCCCTTCTCAATAACAAACTTTAAGAAATGCTTTAATCCGTTTCTTTGACTACATTATGTTTATGATCATAAGAGAGACCGTATGGTATATACACAAATTCAGGACTGTTGTTCACTGAATTATTAATGACAGGGAGGTCAAGGATGTATCTCACTCAGCATCACAGCAGACATGAAAAGCAACCTTGGCAGCGTCACGCTAAGTCCCTGACGGCTGAGCATACAGGCGTCACACTGTCTCATGAAGAGTGTCTTTTATATATTTACTGCAGCTTGTTGTGTCATTTTCTTTTAAAATATCAGTCTAACATCTGCAGAGGCGTAGAAAATGGAAAGAGAGAAAAGAAATTCTTACTGGGGTATATATAATTCCCCCTGCACTAGTCCCTGCTAATGTAAAAACAGCGCACCCATGCTGACGTTGCTAACATAAAAATAGCTTTAGGGTTTAATCGATGCATATGATGCTGTATTGATCCACTCTGTGAATTTCACAGATAAAAGGCATGCAGCCTCCAGAATAACCCTTGTCGCTTGACGTCARCGAGTTAAATGGCTGACCATGAAATCCTTGTTTATAGGAGTCACTATTACAGTCAGTGTTGGTGTGCAGACTAATGAAGATGATCAATGACGATGATTCGAACATGCAGACCTGCACAGAGTGCACATTTATTCACCTGCCTAAACACTTTCTGCTCAACCACATGCCATTGGTGTGAGGAGAGTGTGCGATTTTCGGTCAGCTTGTGTGTAACTTTGTCTGCTCTTTTACTCTTCCTGTTCGGTGCAGAAAGCACCGAGGCGTCTTTTGGGACTAGATGTGATGTGACAGCTGACTCTGGGAGGAAAGGCATCCCCGTCCTCCATCACTTTAGTTTCTGAGCTGGTTTAGCTGTAGTTGCTTTTTTAAAGATAAAAATAATTCCTTACACAGCTTTTTTTTATTAGAATTGTTATTGTGATAAAACTTAAAAGGAGTGTCGTGTTAATTTTTATTTATGTGCATAAATTTGTATTTTAGAAGCATTTTTGTTTCAGCAGAGCTGTCAGGGTTATGATGGTGAAAATATCATCTGGTTATATTTGTCATCTACCAAAAGGAGAAGACTTTATTGTTTTTTGCCACGTGTGTGTTTGTGTGTCTGTTACCAGATTATCTCACGACACACCAGACAAATTTTAATGAAACATGCAGAAAGTAATTGCTGCATCGACAACTGATGAACTTCAAGATGGCTGCCACTTCCAGCCGACCTCAAAGGGGATAAATCATGCATAATCCACTTTTAAGCTGTTAAATACATTTTGTTGTGTATTTGGAGTCTCTAGGAGTGCAGAAAAGTTGCTGCTTAGATATCTTTACATTCTGTTTGAGTTGTATTTTTCAACCCTTTCAGTTTTCTTTTATTTTTATGATGTTTTCTGAACTATTACATCACAGTATTTGGATGGAACTGCTTATTAAGGTTATCAACTATAATTTGGTGGTCTTCATTCTCCTCTGGCTCCGGGTCAGACTCTGGCTCCAACACGTAAGGCTGGATGGACAAGTCTTCAGATGTTGACATCTTTAATTCATTTGTAAATAAAAAGTTTCTGCGCAGCTATATAGTCCTAACCCCCCTATCAAACTACAATGGAAAAGGGGTGAAAGAGGGGCTTGTAGAGTTACAGTAAGGAGGAATTCAGACCAATGCATTGCAGTTCCACTTTATATAAAGCCAAACTGAATGATTTAAATGTGAAAAAGAAAGATTTAAAAGCCTAGGTCCCCCTTAAATAAATAAAGAATACCCATAAATCAAGCAGTTTTACAGAAAAGTACCTAAATTGTTGTGTGGTAGTAGCTGAGCCTGATCTCCCAACATGTATTCTGAGTGCTAATGGATTACGCAGAAATATTTGTTTAAAGTTTAACCATTTTTGGATTCAACTCTGTCAGTCTGTTGACAAAATATCTCATTATGGGACAGGTGTTAATGAATCTTTCATGAAATAACCATTCAGTATATATA